TTTTTAGCGCGGACCCGACGTCCATATAATTGTAAGTCAATGGTAAAATAAGAAAGTTTATTTATTTATTTTTTAAATTCACCAACGCTTGATACATTCGGATACTACAACAGTTTATACACATTAGACAGGGTATTACAGTTCAAATGCTTAACCAATTATAGCTGGACATGATATGAATTTGAAAGTTAAGACAATTAATTATTAATTTACTGTAACAAATTAAATTATAAAATAAATATAATATACATTACAAATAACAATTGACTTATGTGCCAAAAATTGCAATATTGACTGAAGCGAAGCAATGAGACTACGAAGATATCCATTTCAAGAGGTAGAGCATTGATGAGCTTGGCAAATGGAGCAAAAGGAGAATTTGAACCGAGGATACTTTTGCGCAATGAGGGGTAAAATAGATTTACGTGGTACCTCGGCAGACGAGAGGGTATTTTAAACTGTATTTTAGAGAGAAGTTGCGGACTGTTAATTTTATTGTTAATTAATTTATATAAGAATACTAATAAAAAATAAATATATTTTTTCCAGACAACCAACGGCGAGCCGTTCGCGAACACCGACGCAGCTTTCCGCCTCGCCTATGCAGTTATAATGCTGAACATGGATCAACATAACCACAACGCGAAGAAGCTTAACGTACCCATGAATGTTGAGGACTTTGTCAAGAATTTGAGAGGTTGTAACGGCTCTGGAGACTTTGATCAGGCCATGTTAGAAGCCGTCTTTCATTCTATCAAGTAAGTTAATAACTCTTTGAATAACAGTAAAATTCTTTAATAAATAGTACAATAGGACGGTAAGTAAGAAATTAGTAACGAAGGATTATTAAAAACCCGAAGCCAAAGGCTGAGGGCTTTAATAACTCGAGTTTTATATTTTTTTACCGTCCGTGATACATACAATGTTTTGTCATCACATTTGCGATGCAATAAATGATCTAAACAGAAATTTAATTGAAATTCAGCCACATACTACTTCAATAATAATATAGATATAGAACATATATAGAATAGAATAATAATAACAATTATGTGTTTAACAAGTTAATTAAGATAACTGCAACCGGAAACACGAATAAAAATTATACTTAATTTCACCAAAAGGTAAAATAAGTAGTAAATTAGCGACTATGATTTTTAGTAGCAGTAGATTGATCGAAGTGTTTGTCCAGGCAAGGACTCTCACTTTACGCATTACTGCGTTGCGGTTTTGACCGGTACGAGTGCTGGTGATATTACAGCCACATGGGAATTGTCAACTTGTGTACCAGGGTGGCATGCGCTGTAGAAGTGCCCTTTAGATGTTTGCGTGTCGCTTACCACCAGGCGCACGACTTTTTCATCCTTATATCGACGCCTTACTTTCTCAAACACGTATCTTGTAAGGAGTGATTATTCGGGGAGATGGCCAAAACTTTCTATTTATTTTAATTTGGATGCATTACTTTAAGAATAGGTAAAAGTCAGTGTGTGAGTATACAGGAAATATGATATGAAATCAGCCTGTATAATTTGTATATACAATGCATTTTTTGCAGTTACTTTGCGCTTTAAGATACGAGTTTGAGAAAGTAAGACGACCATATGACGTCTTACCATGACATTAATTGATTTTTGGTGCTTTGCAAATGTTATAAATAAAATGTCAATTTTGTAATAAATAAAGTTATTGTCGCTGTTCAAACAAAGTTATCTTTTTGGTGAATTGAAACCGCTTATAAAAAAAAACTGGTATGCCAAAATTGGTCCATCTTACAGGAATGAAGAAATGGTAATGCCAGCGGAACGGGTTGGTCCGGTGCGAGACGCGTACCTGTGGCGGGTGCTCCAGAGACGTGGCAACACTCCGGCTGGCAAGTACCGCGCTGCGCCCTTGTGCAATCAGCACCATGCTAGGCTTTTCGCCGTCGCCTGTCCACCCACAGTGAGTAAATTTTCAAATATTTCGTTTGTTTCTTTATGATACACAGGTTACAAGAATCCATTTCAAATTCTTAATAACTTTTTTTTAATAAAAAAAGCCGAACTCAAAAGTTCATGGAATTACTCGTACATCTATTTGCCAAGTTTTATTGCAATCGGGTACCAGAAAGTGCGCGAAACCGGATTCATGCCTTAGTTTACCACTCTTAGGGTTGGAATGTTTTTTTTTTAATTTAAACGGAGACACTACTGAGGTAGTAGGACACACTACTTTCCAACAAAAAAAGAATCATCAAAATCCGTTCATCAAACATTTCACAATTATCACCTAAAATAAATATAAAAAAAATTACAGTCGAATTGAGAACCTCCTTTTTTAAAGTCAGTTAAAAAGTGGGTGAAGTTCGTTTACTCACCAAATGACAACATTATCGCGTGATTCGCGACAGCAATGTAATGCTTGTTAGGATCTAAATCGAAAAAAATCCCTTCCAGGTGACTGCGCTCTCGGCGGCATTCGAGCGTGCAGCGGCGCCTTCAACCGAAGAGATCGAGAGCAACAACCTCCGAGATAGTGCCGCTCTTCTCGCCTTGAACGGGCTTGAACGTTGCGCGGCACTGGTGGCAAGGCTGCCTCCTGAGTCCCTCACGTTGGATACATTACTGCTCACACTGTGCAAGTTCACCGGCCTGCTTTCACCCCAGCACGTCAATTACATTGCTATTGGTAAGTGGTTGTAACTGGCGAGGAGTTTGAAAGCAGTTGGGCACTACTACAATTGGGTAATTTTCCGATAAATTTCAAGTATTGGAAATTTCCTGAAAAAGTTAGGAATTTAGAAAAAGTTTAGATATATCCTCTGAAGTTTTATTTAGCGTGAATTATAAAATAAACGTATAACTAAAAGCTACCTAAAGAAAAACTTGATTTAAAACAATTTAGCAACAGAGAAAAAAACCTATTTAATGGCTCCATCGTTTTCGTTCAGTAACTTCAACTTTTGACAGGTGTCAACGTCAAATGTGGAAAATTAAAGGAAAAATATCCCGAAAAATGTTTATTTTTCTATGATGTTGTCTAAAAGGGAAATTTTCCATGACCTAGTGTTGGCACTAGGTACTACCGATAAGGACTGTACCAGCCCTCGAGTATATAACCAGAAATAGAGACAGAAATGTCATTTAATTTGTTTGAAAATTATTCTGCCAAATCATTACGGTGGCAACTGCGCTCCGATTGATCAGCCCGAATTCGAAACAATTGACGAGTGTCGTCAATTGTTTCACTTCAAATCGACCAGTTTAAATTGAACTATGCTATAATGGACGAAAATTGCAAAATTACATAGTTAATATTTAATTACCGATGATATGTGCTTCAGTTTCTTTTGTTATTTATATTTTGCTGTTTTTCTCACACCACCGAATGGAACAGCCCCCCATAGTTAGAGATATTATCTTTATAACAATAAATACAGAATATTTTTGGAATATACGGATACGTACACATAGGTCTGTTGTTGGCGCTGTGCTATTTCAGCTTTCTAATTTGTGATTTCAGTGCAAACCAGAGTTGATATTGAAAAGTGATATAAGGCCCATTTGCCTAATGAGTTGCCAGAGATGGATGGCCCTTATTTCCTCTTTATTTCTGGTTATATACTCAATGGTACGAGCAAAACTCTAAAGGACTTATTCTTGAGACTTTAGAAGTCGTTGCGGGGTTATTGGCGAAAAAGGAAGGATTGTTTAGTTAGTTAATAGTTTAATTAGGAAAAATTTAACTACGTTCGGGGAGAGATTTTGGCAGCTTTTGACTGATGCAGTTACGATTATTATTGCAACAAGAACAAAAATATAACAGACATTAAGACATTAGAAATATAAACATACAAGTTACATACAAAAACACTTATTGATTTTAATAGTCAAAACTCCATTACGGTAACTCAAAGATTGACTAGTCCTAGTTATCCCTTTATTTATCTCCTCTAACCTTATGACTTGTCCTCGCAACACGTACTCGCTTCTGATTGGTCAGCATACCACCAACCATAATGGAGCATTTATGACATCAAAAATAATGCAAAATTACATAATTTAACCATTGTGTCAGGTGTAACCCTGGGCCAATCGGTGAAGGCGCAGCTGGCCCTTCGACGCGCCTGCGCCGTCGCGCAGCGGCACGCCGACGCCGTGCGCGACGCGTGGCGACATCTCTTGGAGATCGTCAGGACTTTGTACATCGGAAGACTGCTTCCAAAGGTAACAATTAAGAATTAATGTATTGAAGTTCATCGTCATCATAAGAGCTCCAATAACCGTGAGTGCAGATTTATTATTTAACAAAAGTTGATGTGACCTGTATCTATAATAATAATTAATGTGCCAGAGTCACACCAATTGCCTGGTTTCAAACTAGGAAATTCTTTCAGTACGAGAGCAACGGGATGCGCTCTGGGGCACTTCCAAGAACATCCAGACCGCACTAATTTAGAAAAGTTAATTTCTCAAATTTATCGTACCGGGAATCGAATCGAGGACTTCCGCATCCAGCGCCCACAGTAAACCGTTAAGCCACCGAGATCGTTAATCACCTATCAGGTTATACGACTTATTCGTCCCGTCCTTTGTATCATAAAAAAAAAACAGTCAACAGGTCATCACTCATTGTACATATAACGGTAACAATTTTTTCCCCCAGAGTTTAGTCGAAGCTGAGGATTACTTGGCTCCGAGCGGCACGGTGTCCTTGATGAGAGACCAAGCGCGAGGCTCGGAGGCTGGCCTGCTGTCGAGCATTTATTCTTACATCGCTTTGGGGGAAACAGGTAAGGATGGTTACATTAGATAGAGTCGTTGTCGGTACAATGACGTCATATGTGATCGTTGGTGACAAATTATGGAACAGTGTGTTAAGAGAGCGTTGCGGCGTGGAAGAAGATGTAGTGACAAAGATAGAGAAAGGGATGATTTAATGGTTCGGACATGTAGAGAGAATGAATGAAAGAAGATAGACCAAGGCGAACTTTATCATGACCAAATTGAGGCCATCCTAACCGCTCACGCGATTCATGCGTCTCTGGAAGCATACCACACCTAGAGGTGCCGGTTACGATTTTATACCGATTTATCGGATATCGAAGTTATAACAGGTAAAAGAACTAATACTAATTGCTATTTCGGTAACTACTCTATCAAACCATAAAGTTTTTAATGCCTGGGTCTGTTATTTAAAAAAAATAAACAACTTCAAAAATACGTCACGACAATCGTGTGTGTTATTGTTTGGGCTGGTGATGTCGGTGTTTATTTATTGAAAACATACCGTAAGTTGAGTTTTTTAAGTTTACCCTGAATATAAATGTTTATAAACTATACTTTAAGGAGTAATTTCATGGTAAACATTAGAACCACTCAAACGGAATATTATCATATTTACCCAAGTACACCAAAAATTTCATTAGTGCTTTTTAAGTGCAGGATTTGCGGTGTACTACTGCATTTTATTTGAGATGTTTTTCTTGTAGTACGGAGGGTATTTATTTAGCAATGCAGAATAATAATTTTTATTTTTAAAAACTTGTATTTAAACTGCATCCTTTTCTAATTTGCGAAACCAAATAGCCGCCATTTTGCGGTAGGATGACCGCATCGCGTGAGCGGCAAAAAGAAGGGCCAAGTCAAGAATACCTTTAACCGACGAGCGCGTATGAAAGCACTGATGCGTGTTGATGAGGCGAAAGATGTGTACTGCCGTCTGCTGACTAAAACTCGGCTACGTGACGAAACAATTTTTTGAGATATCACAATAAACCACAACCCAGTTTTGGAATATTGAAATTGTTTAATGATATTTCAGTTTCACACGTTAACTAATTTTAAGTGTTTTCAAAAGAATTAATTAAAGAATTTTGTGCTTTGATTTAAAACGGATATTTGACCTTTTGTCACTTAGCCGCGTTTAGTTAGTGGACGGCGGTGTGTCAAGACCGTAGCAAGTGGAAGACTGTCTCTGCCTACCCCAATGGGAAAAAATCGTGAAGTATACGTATGTATGTGATCATACGAACTGCATGAAACAAACATTAAATTTAAAT